TCCGTCCCGGATATAGGTAGCATCCACCATGCTCCTGGTGCTGTGATGTAAAATAATCTTATGACACCATCTGTGTACTTAACGGTTACAATGTTTTGGGTGGCTAGGAGACTCCTTAGCAGACTGAAGCGTAGTTCCTAATTGGCGTAGGGAAGTTGGTGCTTAAGAGTTTGGTTGAGAGCCAGATTCAGTTGCATCCGCCACAGACAAGTGACTTCACTCACAACTCTGCCTCAGGGACCATAAGAGTACCAACCTCATGAGGGGGGTCACTGTTTGGCATGGATAGAGCACTCAGTAAAAGTTGCCACTGTCATTCTCCTGAAATTCCCTGATAGCTGGCCTGTCCAATGAAGTCCATGGGGTTCCAGTCTGGCCCCCTTTCCTTCTCCTGGTACTGACAGCATCTGCCATCACATCTTGCCTGACAGGTGGCATTTGCCTGTCTTCTCAAACCGCCCAAGCCCTCCTTCCACTTAGAGCTCCTAGCGGGTTACCTAGGGTTTGCCTGCTTGTTGCCTCTTGGAGCCTGATGTTGATGGTTGGGCCTAGTTTCTGGTCTTCCCCACCTTGTTTTTGGACAGATGCCTTGGATGGTGACCTGCGTCTGACAGTCCCATCAGCTCTTCTCAGCTCTCCTGAGGCCGCAGCTGGCAGCTCCCCTGACCCTCAGCACTTGCCTGGAACACCTGGGTTTGCCACACCTCTCTCTAGCCCATCTCTGTCCTGTGTTGTCTTGAGTGTCACTTCTGACCACCCTTCCCCCTGCACCATCTCTTCTTCCTGTTTCCCTTTCCTTCTCTTAGTTGGTATATTTGGTGCAGCAGCCCCTCTCCAAATCCCAGCATGCCCCAGGGCCGGCGTGGATGGCAGGGTCCTCTTAATCCCATCCAGGCAGCAGCTAATTACGCCAAGGCACATCCTTGGCAGCAGATGGATTGGGCCTCTTCTGGGGCTGCATATGCCCCCCAGTGGATCCCTGGATTGAGCGACTCTGCTGTGGGGACCCTGGGTGTCCCACAACCATGGAGCAGAAGAGCACAGTGAGTGGTGCTCTCAGCGGTGAGCCCACAGAAAGGGGTCCCCCTGCTATACGCATGTCCACGGCCGCTCAGGGTAGACTTTCACTGGGTGCCAGGCTCAGACCTAGGCACCTTTAATAGTTCCCCATGGCTGCTGGACCTCTTTTTGGCTCAGCTGGGCTATTACATGTCTTTCTGCTTTGAGCACTACCCAGACAACCTCAGCCACATTTGTGAGATCCTGGGACACTTGACAGGCCGAGCTCTTGGGTGTGGGCAGCCCCCTACCTCAACAGGGACCTACCCCTGCCCGACGATTATGAGCTATTTTGCCAGAATCTTGAAGAGGTTATTCAAGACCCGAACATTTTCACTGAGGACCGTGCCGCAGTGCCCTGCCCTTTGTTCCCGACCTCGAGCCAGCCACCAGTGGCCCCACAGCTGCCTATGGTGAGGCAGTACTTAGCTAGGTTCTCAGAGGCCCTGACACTCAACATGGGTGCTCCACCCAGGCCTGTTCCAGCCACTCTGGCTACCCCTACTATTTCTAGTTCCAACTCTACATCCAGAAATGCTCTGCCTGAGCACCAGCTGGCCAGGGAGGCAAGCCCTGAGTTCATGGAGCCCCCTGCCCTGTCTAGTTCTGCATGCAGTGCTGATCCTGGTCTGATGGGGCCAGCCTTTTCCCAGCCATAGGTGGTGGCCTCCAAACTTGTCCCTGTACTTTCAGAATCTTCTAACACGCTTGCCCAGAAACCAGATGCAGCTTGCCCAGGGGGTCCAGAACCCCAGAAGACAGAGGAAGCGGTTTCTGAGACAGAAGGAGACAAGGAAGCATCTTTAGGTAACCCTCAGGAGGCAGTGGACACCCCGGATAGCCCAGGAGAGCCACCATTTGCTCCTGTTCTCCACTCTATAGCCCTGGATTCTGAACAGTCCTGGCAGGTATAGCAGTGCCCCTCACGATGAAGTAGCCTATGTAGCCAAGGAGCCCCATGGACCCCCATCAGGACAGAGTGGCATTGCCAGATGATTCTAGACATAGCCCTGTCAGATGTTGCTTTGTGCGCTTGCCCTGTTGCTGGGCAGGAGGTGCACTTGTTTGGGCTCTGTCTTGTCTTGAATACAAACAACTCTTTACATCCGCCACTTCCCCCAACCACAGCAGAACATTGGCTTCTGCCCTGTGTCCTTCATCCTCCAACTCCCCCAAAGGCTGCTTCCCACTGGGCTGTCTGCAGCATCTCCACACTTGCCCAGGGCATACCATCTCAGCTGGACTTGTTCCCACTAGTTGGACAGAGTTCTGTAGATCAGGCCCCATCAGATATTTGCACTATTATTGTAGACCCCACCCACCCATGCACACACAAAACCCCCCTACAGTGCTGGCTGCAACTGGACCAGATCTGCCATGCCAGCCCTGTTTGGATCTGGTCCCTGGATGGTCTTTGCTTTGGTCCCCACCCCTATCTTTGCTCCCTATGACCTCTGTCCTCTGGGCAGGAATTTAAGGAGGGCTGCATGGAGAAAGTGGCCACTTCATTGTTGAGTGGGTGGGATGGTATCTTGGCAGAGAAAGATGCTTCCCTGTGGATTTATCAGCCGTCCTGGCCAGCTGAGAAGGCTCGGATGCAGGAAAGTGGGATGTAAGCCCCCTTTCAGTCTCAGCTGTGGTCCACGTATTTCCCCTTCTGTATGTTAAATTCTGGTCACATTTGGTTTCCTTCAGAAGGTGGCATAAGTTTTTACATCTCAGTGACTTTGCCCATGCTGCCCTCTCACTTTCTGTCTTTAGCAGTCCCTGTCTTCTTCCTGCTCTTACACATTGCTGATTCAGTGAAAACCCCAACACTACATGACTTGTGTCTCTGGGTAGACTGTGAGCCTCTAGGGCAGGGGTTCCATCTTAGTTGGTTTTGTGTCCCTAGTATACAACTGGTGCTCATTTAATGTGTGTTGGATTCATAGCTGAGCCTGTGGTGTGGTGGCTGCTGAGAAGCAGAGTCCTTGTTCTGTTGGCAGGAGCACGGTGCCCATTCTATCAGGAATAGAGGCTAGGTCTCAACAGCGAGTGCCCCAGGTCATATTTGCAGATGTGGTTTCCACTGGGGGCTTTGAGGATCCAAAGATCTCATTGAAGGAGTTGAGCTGAAGTGAGTGGGAGTGGAAGGTTTGGCAGGTGGAGTGTGGCCTTGAAAACTGGCTTCTCCAGAGCTGAGTGAGCCAGAGGTGAAGTGAGAAGCAGGCAGCAGACCTGGGCTGTGAGGTCCCTGGGGCCCAGAGGATTGGAATGAAGAAAGACCTGTTCTGCACAAGGATAAGTTTTCTAATAATGAGAGCTGAGCTCGAAGCTCCCTCCAGCCAAATTTAACACAGGATTGGTACAGCGCATCTGTGGTTAGGCAAGAATTTCAAGCTCCTTTCAGTTTTACAGTTGTGGAAACAAAACAGCAAAAGAACACCTTCCTGGAAAGTAGGAAAAAATAAGGGGAAATGTTAACTGCAACTAAAACTAATTATTTTAGGAAAAACAGTAATAGTCAAACATCTGGTAAAAATTTTAAATGAAATAGACATTGTTTTATTTAATAACTCACTTAAAAAGGCTCTGGGTTCATATAGTTTTATGTGTAAGTTATTTTAAGGCATAGATACCTTGTAAGTAAAACAGTTTCAAATCTTGGAAATAGGTGGGAAGCTGATATAACCCTAAAAGCAAAACAAGGTTAGGGAAGAAATCAGTGTGCAGTCTTGATTCTAATCAGGTGTGGAAAATCCCTGGCCATCCTAGCCTAACCCTAGTGCTTCTGTTGGGGGTCCTACTACTACCCCTCTGCTGCTGTTCACATCCAGGCCCTCCTTTTGCAGGCACAGGTCTCTGCTCCCCACTACCTCCCTTAGCTGTGGCGTGGCCTGCCTGTGGATCTGATATCATTAGCAGTATCAGAAGGGCCCTCATTTAATCTGGTAAGATGGCTCTGGCAGTAGAATCTAGAGCTGCTCTCTGAGACAGACAGCTCAGCTAACAACCCCACCATGTCACTGGCCTCTGCACAGACTTCCTTTCCTGTCTGTTTAGTGGACCTAGTGTGAATTTCTTCAGCTCAAGATCACCATTTTCCCTTCCAAACCCCTGTCCTATTGAGGCCTTTCCTCCTTCAGGCTCCAGGCAGCTCCTGTGGACTTGAGTTATAGTCTGACATACCTCTCTTGAGAGTCAGCTGTGCCCAGGCAGGCCTGAAAGGATTTGGGAAGAGCCCAGATGACCTGCTTTTTAATTTGGAGTATGGATCCTATTGTGGTTGGGCTCTCGTCACAAAGGAAAGGAGAGGAAGGTGGGGCCTCAGCGGTGATAGCAAAGTTGCCCATTCCTGGGTGCTTGCAGCGGGGATCAGGAGAGGTTGGGAGGGCTCTGGCCTGGCCTTCAACACAGGCAGTGCATGTGGTGTTGCAAAGTGACAGCTGATGTTTTGCCTTTCCTTTTGGCAGATGCCATGACCTAGCTGCTTTCTCACTGTGCTCTGTACGGGAGCCGGAACACAGAGGGCCAGGAGAGAAGGACCTTGAGTCATTTGCCACTCCTGGCTCTCCACATGAGTAGGCGAACTGGAGTAGGGTGCTCTTGGGAGTGGCACGGTTTGGCAGGGTTTGCTGGATGGGTTCAGGGGCAGGCTGAGGTGCTGGGGCCTACCTTGCAGATCATTGTGTCTGTCCCTCACTCTCTTGGAAATACCCACAGATTTTATTTCCTAAAGATGGGACATAGTGGACTCTGTGGAAGGGTTTTTAAAGAACCTATCTCCAAGGAAAATTATAGCACTGGAAGTACTGAGGAAAAGGTCCTGCGAGATACTGAACATTTTATAAAGCTGCCATAATGAAGGTGCTTGGATGTTCGTGTGGATGGATGAACAGGAGAATAGAGAACTTTGGGATAAACCCAAATAAATACGGAATTTAGTTCATGCTAGAAGTGTTACGTTTCAAATTAATGGACTCTAATCAACTCCGTACAAGGAGTTGGAACAAGTGGTTAGCTATCTGGAAAATAGTAAAACTGGATACATACTTCACTCTATACCAGCCTATACTCCAGATGGATTAAAGATTTAAACATTTAAAAAATTATTACTACAGAGTGAATTTTTTTCCTGCCTATGATTCCAGGACTTTAAAAGTTTCAGACACCTAGGATTGCTGAAGATATGGAGAAACACTTTTTCATGCTGTTGGTGGGAGTATCAAATACTGTGATTCCCTCACATACATTTCTAAGCACACAGACTATGACCACTTGATAGTGTGCAGATTCGTTGCTCATTCTGCAGTGTGGGGCTTCAGAGCATGGACTTGAGCTTGGTCACACCTTGCCTCTTCCACTTGCGAGCTGAGGGTCCTTGGCGTCACCCAACCTCTCTGAGCTGTTACAGTAGTTCATCTTCACAAGACAGTGGGAGGGTTGAATGAGGTAATGCCTGTGCAGTGGCCTGAGCTCTAGTGACTGCCTAGTAGGCCTCACTGCATTAACAGCAAAACTGGGAATAGCCCAAAAGTCCAGTGGTAAAGAAAGAGCTAAATAGCTATTGTCCTGTTGTGTGAGTCGAGATGCCAGGTCGTGCTGCAGTAACAAAAACCTTCAACATCTCAGCCACCCGTCTGTCACAGATCAGCTTGGGCACCCTCTGCCCTTTGGAGTATCTTTAGGGACCTGTGCTGAAAGGAACCCCACTGGATATTTCTTCACGACCACAGAGGTAGTGGAAAGACTGCAGAAGACCACAAGAGACTGTCACTTCTCTTTCATGACTGTGGCCAGAGAAGCCACTAAGCCATACCTGAATTCCAAGGGATAAGAGCATCAAGTCCTCCCGTGGGGTGGGGTGGGGCAGGATACTCAGCCTTGAAAAGAGCAAGCATCCACTGAGCAGGGCTCAGCAGTGCCACCATCAAGGCAGTGGGGTGGGCTGCATCAGTACCCTGGAAGGAACTCAGTTCTTGAGTTCTGGAGGCTAGAAGTCTACAGGGTTGGTTTCTCCTGAGACCCTCCCTGACTTGTGATGACCATCTTCTCCCTATGTCCTCACATGGTTGTCCCTTTGTACCAGTCTGTATCCTGATCTCTTATAAGGACACTGGTTATATTGGGTAGGGGCCTACCTATATAACCTTATTTAACTTTAGAACTTAAACATCCGAATTTTGAGATGACACTGTTTAGTCTATGATACTGCCCAGGATGGATTTCTTTGCTTTTATTTTTGCAATTTGGGGCAGTGTTGTCATGAGCACCCTTCTAAATAGCACTGCCCACGTGCAGAGCCCCTCCTTCTTGGAGCAGGAAGTGCCCACTTCTGTATGCAGCCCTCTTTTTCTTAACTCTTCCTGCCTGAGAGTCCAAAGACATTACCCTGCATTCCCAAGTCTTAATGTTTTGCCTTTTACATTGACTGGAATTTTTAACAGCATGATATGTGGAGAGGTCTTCTGTCAGCATCAAAGAGCCTGTGAAGAACAGGATTCCTCCACCTACCTACTCTGATTTGTAATAGGAGGAAGAAATAAATGTTGGATGTGTGAAGCTGCTGAGTTTGGGGGTTTGTGTTTTTCACAGCATCACCTACCCTATCCTGATAGAGGACCCCATTTCACCTTTTGCCATAGAGTAGGTGACTGCCAGCCTTGGGTGCCAGATGTCATCCTGGCTATACCTGTCCATAGTGACATGTCATACACACCTGGCTCTCTGGTCTGCTCTGTCCCCCACTAATTACACAGCTTTATGGTGACTTTTCATTATCTGGTAGGCAACCCCCCCACACACATACACCTGTTCTTCAAATTGTTTTGGCAAGTTTTTATGTTTTAGATGAAGCAACCCTTGGTTGACTTCACAGATTGCAAGGACCTTGTCAGCTTACAATCCCTTATTTTTAAATTTTTTTATTTCTACAGCACCTGGTCTTTCTAGGTGGTCTCCTATCCAAGTACTAACCAGGCCCGACCCTGCTTAGCTTCCGAGATCAGACAGGATCGGGCTTGTTCAGGGTAGCATGGTCGTAAGACGATTGGCTAGTTTTTAAAGTGTGTATTATCACAAACACAGAAATGGAGAGGATGGTACAGTGGACCACAGTGTGCCTGTCTCCTGGCTCCAGCAGTGGTCAGTCCTTCCCTTGGGGGTGTTTGTTGGTGGACTGCTGGGCCAACCATGTTCTCTGGGATGGCAGGAGAGGAGCACTGAGCTCACTTTATTTCTCTTTGGGCTGATGTCTGTTACAGGGGTGTCAAGAATAGGCCTGGAAGGAGCCACTGGCCTGCAGGATTCCCTTGGCAGCCTGTTCCTTCTCTCCCTGCTTCAGGGGCGCACAGCCAGGGCTGGTACCTGTGGCTAGTGGGTACTTATCCACTTGCTAGCTGCTTCTTTATTCCCATGGGCAGGGCCATTAGATGATAGAGAAGGATGTCCCTGGGCTGCTTTCCACCTGTGATCAGCATAGAGACACCTGCTGGCCACTTGGAGTGCTGCATCCTGGGCTCCACAAGGTCCCAAGTGCACAGTGTCATTCACCTTGATGTTTTTGCACTGTAGCCAAGGCTTTCTGAAGGCTGTGGGTGGGGAGGTGGGCCCCCTGCGAGGGCCTGCATAGTGGGTGATCCAGGAGGCTTGTTGGTCGGGCACCTGATCCAATGTGCTGTCCGCCTGGAGCACTGCTGCCTCCCCACCACTGAGACCCCGTGTTCCTCCCCTGAAATTCAGGGCATAAAAGGGAGCCTTGAGGTGGCTGGGTTGGGAGGGTGACCCAAGGCCTGTGCTTTTCTGCCCCTGTGCACCTGCCTCAATCCAGGGGCACACTTTACAATGCCCACTGCAGCCTCCTGGTCCCCCCACTCCCCTCAAGTTGCTGAATGCCCTCTCTCACTTTTGCCACCTATAAATTGGAGAGAACTGCCTCGCATGTGCAGCAGGCCCCTCAGGGCTATAACCAGTGCCCCTCACCCTTCTCTCAGACTTTATCCAAACACCGCTGGTGGTGGCCATCAGTGTGAGTACATGGCGTGTGGGTGTGTGCACCCGGACGTGTGTGTGCACAGACTCACAGCCAATTGTGAACATGTGATGTATCTGTAGGTGCATTATTTGCATGTCTGTGGTAGACCTCTGGGGGGCGACCCCCCACTTGAGGTGGCCTCTGCCATAGGAGCAACCCTTTGGATCCCTGTAACAAAGTGTATTACTATTACCATGGTTAGGGATTTCTTTTCCAAGTGGGCCTGGGGTCCCAGGAGCTTCCCGGACACCAGTCTGCAGGGATTAGCCCCCATTCCATGCCCTAGGTGAGTGTTTGGGCACAGTTGTCAACACTGGGCAGCTGGCCACTGTGGGCCCCAGAGGCTAGCACTGGTGCATGGGAATGGTCACACTTCCTGTAAAACAACATGCTTTTCCGTATGTTCACCAGGGAAGAAAGGCTGGCTGCCCATTGCTGGCCAAGTTCCCACCCCTGCCCGTAAATGCCTGGGGGCAGGCTGGCTGAAAAGGCTCCTCAATTAGGCTTCCTTCCTGCCATCTTACCGAGCTCCTTGGACCTACTCCTGGGGGTGACGGATGTCCTCAGCTGCAGCTTGAGATGCCTGTTCATAGAGAGGCCCTGCCTCCCCATCCTGCCTGCCCCTGCAGCCCAGCGGCCCCTCACTTTGGCATTTCCTCTCAGCCTGGCAAGTGTGGCATGTCCCCCAGTTCCAGGGAGAAGTCCGACTTGCTGCAGCATCCACAGCGGCCAGAAGCCCCTGCTGGCTGTGGGAAGACTGGTCATTCACACCTCGTACCTCCAGCCCGGAGGCTGTCAGACATCACCATGCCTTTTTAACCCCAAGGCTCACTCTTGCTGTCCCAGCCTTGCCTGATCCTGCCAGTGCATTGGTTGTGGCAAGGCAGGGGAGAAGAGCAGGCCACAGTGGGCTGGTGGGAGAGGCGTGTTCACCTCTGCCTGGGCTCCGACCACACTACATGTGCCTTGACCCCAGCAGAGGAGTCTGGTCCTTGGAGATGCAGCTATTACTTGGCCTCTGTTACCTTCTTCCCAAAACACAGTGGGGCCCATCTGGAATGGGTACTTACAGACCTGGTGGGGTGAGCATGTAGGCACTGTGGGGGGCAAAGCTTGGCTCACTGCAGGCCAGGAGCCGCCCTAGAGCTTCACAGGAATTGCTGGGATGCTGTCCCCAGGGAGGAGAGATCAGTGCCCACTCCTGGGTCTTGCTGGAAGGCGTGGCTGAACTTCACAGGAGTAGAAAGTCTCTTAAGCTACGGAGCAAGTGATTCTCTTGGATTGAAGGAGGAGAGGCTTCAGGCCAAGGAGTCTGGCACTCTTGGCTCCACCACAGATACCAGTAGAGGCCTTCCCCCAAGTTCTGCTCTGGGGACTTGCTCTCAGGGAGATGCCCTTTCTGCAAGGGTGTCCAGGCTGTACGTGAGGCTTAGAGGGGGCTCCCGACAGCAGAACTCTGGTGTTTTCCCTAAGTACTCACAAAATAGCTAGCATAGGGCTTTCCCCAGCCTTAGGCCCAGCTTTATCAGTTGAGGCCAAGGCTATCACCTAACGCTTCTGGGAGATGGCTGTGCCGGAGCCAGTTAGGCCTAGGACCAGCCTCTGGTCCTCTAAGGGGAAGAGTTGTTAGGGGTGTGCCTTATCACCCTCCCTACCCACCACTACACATACACAGTTATATCAGTCACCCGGGGAGCTGGGAATGGCTGTGCTTGGGGTGTGCACTTGCTGCTATGGGGGAGGCAGGCGTGGGGATGATGCCTGGCTCCCGCCTCCCTATTGGGCTCTTAAGCCCAAGGGCATGCAGGGCTGGGTTGCTTATGGTATCGGTGGACCTACCTCCCTCCCTTCCTCCCTCCCTCCCTCCCAGGCTGGCCAAGCTGTATCCCGGAACCCTCCCCAGGATCTGCATCTTTGAAGCATGGATACTGACAGAGGATTCAATGAATCCAAGGTCGCCAGCCAGGCGTTGACAGATGCCCAGCCACGATACTATTTCTGATTTAATAACTGAATGGGAGGCTGGCCCTTGGTAATAATTAGGGCTAATTACTGAGGAGGTGTTGACAGATGGGCTGAGAGGAAACAAACTACCTTTATCCCTGGGCTTAGAGTCAGATTACCGGCCCGTGCTATCTGCCCCTCAGAAAGTAGACGCTTCAATCACTCACCGAGGCTTCAAAGGGGCAAGGGCCCTGACAATGCATGGGGTTTGGAAAGGAGCTATGAAGTGCACCTTTGACTCCGACTCTCCAATGGAGCCCCATTCCAGAAATGGATTCTTTGTGAAGTTTGAGTTACTCTAGGCAAACCCGCCTCCGAGCTCAGGCCAGGCTGGGCTGTGGCTGGCCCACCTGCCTACCCAGGTCCTTCCGAGGCTGGGACCATGCAGGGAGGTACAGTATGTTTCCTTGTCCTGGGAGTCTGTCCAGTTCTTTGTGACCAGGAGCTGCAGGTAACAGGATTGAATCTTACTATCCTAGCAGATTGTTCCTTCCCTTCCCTCATCTGGATGCAGTTTTTCTGAAGCTGTCATGGGCAGGTCTGGTGTCTCTGCAGGGCACCTGATTTATGGTAGGACCACCTCTTGAGGGCCCAGGCATTACTTAGGGGCTGCACCTACCTCCATCATGGGCAGTGAGCAGTGAGCCAACATCGTGAACAGGACACTGACCCCAGGGGCCTCAGTGACTGAGAGGTGACAACTTGGCACAGGCTGGTGCTGATGCATTGTATGTGTACGTGCTGACTTCCTTGGATCTCCGTGTGCCTCAAAGACAGTGGGGGGCTGTGGTCAGACCTCCATTTCCTAGTGTGAAGCAGCAGCACTGGGAAGTTTCCCAGTGACCTGGCCTGGATTGCAGGCTGCTACGTCTATGATGCGACTTCAAGGGGCCAGCTGAGAAAATGTCACTGGCTAAGGCCCTCACTGCTGAATGCAGGGGCTGTTCTGGGATTCTGGGCTTTGGCTGTGGACTGTCTTGATCGGAAAGGCAGGAGGGGAACCAGGCCCACCAGAACGGGCCTGTGCAGACACCATCTTTCAGGTTCTAGGAGTGGCCTGGGAGGTGCAAAGGGAATGGGCCTCTGTTCCTGCCAGCCCAGAGGACCAACCAATTCAGAATCTTCCCGCTAGAATGGTTGTGCTGCTTCAAAGAGAATAAGTAGGTTGGGCTGGTGGAGAGTAGTATTGTCAGATAAGTGTTCCTTTTCCTGGCATGCTGCTCTACTTCTGGCGGTAATGATGATGATAGTGATGATGGTGATGATAATGATGATGGTAAAAGTCCCTTGATAATTTGCCTAACTGAATACTGATTACCTTGTATTGACACTACTGATGAATTTAAATTTATTTATATTAGGGCAAAAATAGGATGGCGAATTATTTTAAATGGGAGAAACACTTAAAAATTGTCATTAAATCTGTTTAAAGTCAACTTAGATAGAATTAGAGACTGGCTCTAAAGCCAAAAGAATCTAAGCAGGAAACTGGGTTTTCATAATACATTAATGGTACGTTAAATAC